GCCAGGAGAAGAGGTAAGGGTTTGGGATGAATTAGGGGTGTCCAGAAAGGGCTGTGGGTGGGACTGCTTTGGGGACATGAAGGAAGGAGCTTACTCTGCAAGTAGCTGCCTAAAGAAAAGCAGAGATAAGATTCTAGGGCATTGAACAAGGGAGAAGAGAGGGGTCAAACTCCTGTGATTCTTCCAACCCTCCTGTTCACATCTTCTCCCACAGCATGTAAACCACCACCACCACCTATTTCTTCTCTCAAGTATGTGGATCCCATGGAATTTGTTTTGTGCTCTCCAGTTTTTGGGCCTTGGTTCACCAAAGTCATTGCTGAGTGCCAAGAACTGGTGGCACTGCAGAATGTAGATGGCTCCTGGGCCCTCAGCTCAGGACTGGCCTCTGTGCTGGAAGTTGATGAGGCTGAAATCAAGGGAAAGATGCCTGATGAGGTAAGAAGGGAACCTCTTATGGTGGCAGCATGTCATACTGGGGCAGTGGGAACCCATTGGCTAGTGGCAACACCAGCATCCCAAGGACAGACTGAAAGGAATGAAGGGATCAAAAACCAGAAGCCACAAAGGAAGGGGTCAGAAGCAGTGGGCAAGCAGGGAGGATGCTCAGCACTGCATGCTGGTCTGAGACATTGTTCTCCTACAGGTCACAGAGCCAAGCATCTGGGCCACAGTGCTGGCTGTGACCTGGCTGCACAGGAATGACAAGTGTTACCAAGACCTCTGTGAGTTGCTGGAGATGAAGGCTGTGACCTGGCTGTGCAGCCAAACTAGTGAGTTTTGAGGATTCTTTTCCTACTGATCCCTACAGCACAGCCTCCTCCCTTCCCTCTCCAGTGGGACCTGCCTCACTTCTTTGCAGGACCCTAATTTCCTGGGGGCAGGTGAAGGAGTCCTATGTCATCTTTTACTTTTCCATCTGTCGACTCTCCCTCCTTCCTGACTCCCTTCATGCCCTTGTCTCTCTCTGATTGCAGTGTCCCAACTGGGCAAGTGCCTGGAGGCAGCCAACACCTTCCTTGGGAGTAGGGTGAAGCCACATGTGTCTTCAGGCTCTGAGCTCAACACATGCTTTGTGCTACAGACTGGTGGCACCTGTAGAGCTAAAAAGGGCCAGAAAGTATAGCCTAAATTCACCTACCAGGCTGAGCTACCACTGTTGCTACCAGCGGGTGTCTTACACTGCAGATGAATTCTCACTGCATATGTCTTATACTAGTTGGGCTGAACCTGTATCATGCTGAACTCCTCAAGAGAAAACCTCTAGTTCAGAACCTCCAGCATGATTGTTTTGGGCAGAAGTGGGAGCATCACATTCCCTAGTGGTTGCCCTTCCCAAATTTGGCTTTGGCAAAATAGGCTACTGGCCTCCACAAAGATGGCACTTGGGGTGCCACCAGTTTAGTGGTGGACTTGGTTAACTGTTGGACTCCATTATCTTAAGGGTCTTTTCCAACCTCCGTTATCCTATGATTCTGTGACTTCTGCCTTGACAAAAAGTGCTGTGCACACTAGAAAAGATGAGTGTTTAGAGATGTCAACAGTAGGCACAATAGCAGTGGCTCACAATGAGGGACTCGTGGAGCACCCCACTTGCTTTACCTCAAAAGTCCAGGCTTTTGAGGAACTCCCATATCTGCATTGCCATGTAAACCAACCATTTTGGAAGTAAAACTCTCATCTACATCAGACCCAGCCCATCATAATATCCATGAGATATCACATGGGGTGAGATTGATTTGAAAATTATCAGCATGTTGAATGTGGAGCTGCAGGAGATTTTGATCAGCCAACCCATCATGCAATGTATTCCCTCCTGCCCCAGGGCCCTGAATTCAGGGGTCTCAGTCCATGTTGGAAAAGTCTCTGATTTATTTTCCAATAAACAGTGAGTCTTCTGTAAGCCAAAAGGTGTGACATAGCCTTTATTTCACTAGAGCCCATAATCCTTCCTTCCAGAGGCCACCTGTCAGTCACCAGGAGAGGCATGAAAGGACATTGCTTCCCAGAAAGCTGTGTATCGTAATACAGTAAATAAGGTGGTGCTGTTGCTCTTGGAAGACCACAGACCTGATCTAGGTTAGCAAGACAAGAGTGAGGACTTGCTAGGTTTTTTCTAGACTAATTTTGGATTGAATGTATTTCAGCTTGATCTTAGTGGATCCCATTCAGATCAAGTGTATGTAGCAACACGTCCAGCAAAGGTGACTGATGTCTGATTTATCCTAGCTGTAATAGAAAAGTTGTCTGGTGATTAATGTCCAGCTTGGTTTTAGCTTTAACTTTTTAATTCCATTGGAGCATGCAATTCTAAAAATAAATGCTGTTCTCCCTTTAAGCTTCACCTCTGCTGTCTGGAGCAGACAGTGCAAACGGCTTTGTGCACTGGCAACCCCTTCCTGTCCTGGGGGTCAGTGGGGAGACAGAAGAGTCACCTTCCTCAGAGATGCAAATGGAACAGGACTAAGAGACGTGCCCTCCCACACTCCTCGGAAGAAATAAGGCCATTGGGGATCTCAGATTTTGGAGAGGTGAATCCTGAATGTGAGGAAATACTGGTAGCTCAGCTTATATGAACAACCAACAAATGCATTGTTGATCCAGGGTGAGATCCTGGATCCTTCCTTCCAAGAGAATCCTAAGGGTGACTCATCTGATCATACCTTATTGGTATCCATGGCCTAGGGGGAATACCCAACTGCTTCTTTCTCTCTGTTCACCACTGGCAAGTAACAGGTAACAGCAATGCTGTTAATGGACCTTGAGATGGGAAGAAGATGCTGCATTTTTCACTGTTCTACTGTCTCACACACTCATTGTTTTACTGACATTTTCCTATTGATGGGAGAATTCCTGATAACAGATCTATTTCAGTTTGAGACCTGACCAAAATGAAATCTGTAGTGGGAGGAACAGAGAGGAACAAAAAGGCTGATTGATCCTTCCAGAGTACTTATGGGTCCTGTTGGCAATCCAGATATCAGCTGGCCGTTTTCTTGGTACTAATAACAACACAGGTAACAAATGTCTGTTAGGCTATGATTGCCTTTATGCATCTTGCATCGCATAAAGTGAGAAAAAGCAGCATCCTTAAATGCAGCTGGTAGAAGTAGGGGTTCATCATCAAACCATTTATTTGGGTCTGAGGTAAACATTGAGTCTTTGTTGGTATTTTTGAGGGCTGTCTCTCTGCTGTGGGCTGTGATCAGAGCTGGGGGCTTTCTCCTGTGTAAAGAATCATAGAATCATAGA